CATGGTAACTACAGTAATTATCAAAGTGGGAAGTGATGCCCTCTGGGGGCATTTGGCCAGGGGTGTTTTTACACCACAGACAAGGTTTGAGAAGGAAAAAAATCATTATGAAAATATAATTATATTTTCCTTAAAATGTTCTTCCTAACTTCAGGCCTTATTCTCATGTCATATATAACTGTGATGTTCTGCAAAACATCAGATGGTCAAATCTGTTTTCTCTCAGGTACATCGCAGTGTAAGCTTCATAGTGAACATTACTACATCACTCTTGTCAACGTAGTCCATATCAACAACAAAAATATATCTTGACTCCATATAGTGGTTATTTTGGGAAAATCCCAGGTATTTTGAGCAGTAGGATTATAAAAAAATATGTGCTAATATAAATTTAAATTAAGTAGCCTATATAAAATTGCAAAATAAATCTATCAGTACTTTTTTACTTAAGTACATAAAAAATCGAGTACTTTTGTACTTTCACTCGAGTAAAATTGAAAAAGGAGTACTTTTACTTTTACTGGAGTAATATTTTATTATATGTATCTGTACTTTTACTCAAGTACTTGATTTGTGTACTTCGTCCACCACTGCTTAGTCATATCTTAAAGCTGTCAACCATCTGTTTTGTATCTCTCCTCTCTGGCTCCAGATGTCAGAGCGAGCACTCGTGACAACAACAACAACTGGAGGAGAATGAACTTTTCAGGCGGGAGAAATAAACTGTGAGCGTATTGGACAACAGCAAGACTGTCATGCTGTGCAATGCCATTTTCATGCAGGCTCCTTCTCCTACTGTCTTCAAACACTGCTGGGGTGTGTACATGTGTGTATGAACAAAGCATTAGAGTTTAGATTTGATCAAAGATAGCAGGCCTCATCCTCGCACTGGGGCATGACCGAATTTGTCAGCCACAAGTGGCCCAGGAGAGCTACGTACACCGTGGCAGAGACTGGATTAAAGAAAGTACACAGAAGGTGAGAGCAGTTTATGGGCAGGCAAGTAAATTAAAAAACCATGCTGCTCAAAGAAAAAAAAAGATAAAATGTGGAATTATAAAAAAGCCACTAAATCCTGTTGTATTACTGTAGCCATGTGTGACTAATTTATTTTTATTTTTTATAAATATTTATCCCTTTAATATTTATTTTAAGCACTTGCCTGATTATTTTATCAAATAAATAGCCTAGAATAAAATAAATTAAAAATGTTATTTTATTTTTTTAATTGGCAGTAACTTTGTAACCTTTCTTTGTCATATTTCTTTGCAACCCGAATAAGATTCGAAGTTTGATTTTAGTTTTCCCGAAATAACATTTCAGTGAACAGTTCTTAAAATAAACTTTTTTTTTTCTTAGTTTGAAGAACATATTAATAATCTGAAGAACCTTTTTGTGTACTGGAAAGACTCCATGGATGCCAAAGGTTCTTGATTCCATGGATATCAAAAGTGGAAACATAGATGCCACACTCTCCGAGTCTTTCTCCATTCTACGTCACTTCATGTTTGTTGCTGCCGTGTGTTTTGAGGTTTTGAGCTCCGTCAAGTTAATTCTTTATCGTCTATTTTTTTTTTAATCTTAAAATCAATTTTATACACCATCATTTTTGTTACTATAACATGTGAATATATCCCCTATCGTATTCTACAACAAAAACAATCAGAGCGCCTTGTTATCACTAGTTTTATTTTGATTTCCCGAGTCCGCTATTAGCATATAGCCCGTTAGCATCACCAGCGTGGTTGCCGCTAATCTCGCAACCATTGCTAATACTCTATTCATACACATTACCATTGTTTTACTCACTGTTACTTGCTTTAATGGCAGATGTGTGCCATCTGCCTTTGAGTGCAGGTGAGGACACGGTCGAGCTGCATTCGGTGCAGGTCGAGCTGGAGGCTGTGGAGAGGCAGGCCCAGCTGAGAGAGCGGAGAGCCGCATTGGAAACATCCCGGGCTGACGCTCACGAGTCCGGGGTAAGTATACAACGCGCTGCTAACTCTCCCACCACCTCTACTCCGTGTGTTTCTCTGCACAATAGCTGAAGGTAAAGTGCACACCCACTGTTTCCCTTGTGCTCGTGTTCTCGATGTTCCTGCGCAGGTACCCGCGATCCTGAAGGGCGAGGAGAGCCCCGGAGCGGTCGTGCTTCACGCTGGGGTTAACGACACCAAGCTGCGGCAGTGGCTTTTTCGCGCGGATGGCCTGCACCCCAGCAGTGTGGAGCCAAGGTTATTATAGGTTTGAATTTTTAAATTCGTTTTATTTAAATATCGTTTTCAAATTTGCTATAAAATTCTGTTTAGTTTTTATTAGTTTTATTCATATTTTTGTTAGTTTATAAATCAAAACTGGGACTAATAAAATTCAATAATAACGGCGGTAGCATTTAACAGTAAAGGCTTATATTTGAATGTTATTTTCATTTATGAAGAATTATAAGCGTGTGTATGATGTGATTTAGCCAATGTTGTTGCATATTACTGATATTAACAATATGGCTCCGCGTTATAGTCCTGGCAGAACTATTGTTCCAGCCACCAAAGACAGATTCACAAATAACCTGCCTGATTTATCTCAACTGCTCTGTGTACCCATAAGTACACATGAACTAGACGAAATGCACAAGCTTCAGTCTGGATCCAGAACACATCTGAGGGATGATGCCAACCCCTCAGAGGACCTCAGATGATGCCAACCCTGAAACAACATATAGAACTACCAAATTTAGCTATAAGTTCGATTGCATCATATAATAATTACCGTTAATAGTGTTCATCGTCTGTTTGATTACGTCTTTAATTGATTACGACTTTAATTGATTTTTCCGTACATTTCTGCCATATGTACATTAACTGACAGTCACCACTGATAAGCTACCACTAAATTTTGTTGAAACTTAATTTGCTGTAAAGTTGCTTTGCAGCGATTTGTATCGTGAAAAAATTTGCTGTAAAGTTGCTTTGCAATGATTTGTATAGTGTAAAGCGCTATACAAATAAACTTGAATTGAATTTAATTGAATTTAAGAGTTTGTAATAAACTAACTGTAAACATGGAGAATCTTACATTTCAGAAAACTAAACTGCAGGAAATTACCATCATTATGCAATAATATTGGAGGTTCAATTTCAAAGATTTGTAATGATTCAGTTTTACATTACACTTTATTTACAGTTGTTAAATCTGAAATAAGTGGCTCTTACATTTCTTTTAAAGTGTGTAAAGTATTTTAATATTTGAATGATCCAGGTGTGGTTTTAGCCTTACCAGTTTCTCCCTGGCCCCTATAAATGCAATCAAACACCCATAATCCCTTGTAACACCAATGAGAAAGAAGCTTAGTCAGTGGTGTAACAGAAAAACACAGAACTGAAGTGAAAGATGGTCAAACAAGTTCGCAAAGGGTGTCATACTGTTCCTGGTGGCCTGCAAACACCCCTGCAACCCTTGAACTCCCCTACACCCTTATGTGCCCTGACAGTCGATAAGAGCAGCCAGCTGGGTGGGCACTTGGGTGTCACCCGACTCCCACATTCATACCCACCCAGGCAAAATTCTCCATCGTTTTCATGTTCTCCCTTTCTTCTTCTGGGCTCAGAGGGTGTGAAGTAGGCATTGACCTGTGCCGCTGGGTCTCCAGGGAGAGAGCTGTATGTCCGGCTTCATTTGCCACTCACCTCTCAATTAGAAGCAAAGCAGGGACGATTCCCGTCGCCTGTGTGTGGGAAGCAGAGCCCTGTCTCTTTCTGCCTTCGTGTGGTTTGATGAGTGCTGCGAGGGCTTGTATTAGTTTCACTCACTGTCTGTGTGGGCAGCTGGAGATTTCAGAGTGCCGGGATGGTGCAGTGATGAGGGCCATACAGTTTCCGCAAAACAAAACATGAAAAACAGCCCTCATACATTTTACAGTGTTTTATGGCAAGATAGCAGTAATTCTTCCGCTGGAGCATGGTTATTTATCACTGCATTATTCTCTCAAACAAGACTGCGTTTTTGGAAATGTAATGGGTTGAAAACAGGCTGTGTGGCATGCAGTTGATTACACAATTTTGATTCCTTCCTCAATAATTATTGTGTATAATCCATTTAAAATTGGGCAAATTCTGTAGGGTTTAAAATCAGAAATGTGCAACTCTTTTTTTGTTTTTTGTTTGTTTGTTAAAGTACTTAATAATTCTTCCAAACAAAAATGTGTGTTTGAGCTCCAAAGTTGCCTAATTTAGCATTTCTTTAAATTGGGTCCAATTTAAATTCCCTGGGGATCGACAAAACTTTTGTTTACCATTTCACTGTATGTGTACACTTGTAAAAATAAAGGTTCTTCATTGCCATCTATGGTTCCATGAAGAACCTTTAACAAATCTTGGAATTTTTTAATTGAACAAAAGGTTCTTTATAGTGGAACTAATAATATCTTGTGAAACATTCATAATTCAGTTATTCAAAGTATCTTTTGCAAGTTTGACACATTTTAATTATTGATGCATAAATATAAAAAACAAACACAAAGCATGTCATTTCAGACAATTAGGTTGGGGTCTGTGAACTGTTTGTTGTTATAGAAGAGATCCTTAATTTAAAAAAAAATGTTAGAGAAACCGAAATTGTCCTATTAAAAATAAAACTACTGGTCTAGTAGGATTAACTTCTGTTGAAGGGTTACCAATTAAATTTCTGTGGGTAGATTTAAAAAAAAAAAAAAAAGCCCTTTCGGGTATCCTTGTGCTGAATTTGCTGTGTTAACTGTGTAATTAAAGTTAAGCCTTATCAAAAAACATCTGTGACAATGCTTTACCACAAAAAAAAAGAATAAAATGAATAATATGAATAAATAAATAATATATATATATATATATATATATGTGTGTGTGTGTGTACTGGTCAGATGCATTAAATTCGTGTAGCAGAGGTGTGTCACAGTGCCTGTTTTTCTGTCCGCCTCTATGAAAGGATAATTCTTTATGTCTGTTCTGCTAGGTTCAAGAGCCCTTCTTGGAGCTGGAGTTGAGTGACTTCTCCCTATGCTTATGAAAAGTCTATTTCCTCTCTCAGATGAACCATGTGGTCCTCCCAGCTTCCATGGATAATCCTTCAGAGGCTGGGGTCACTGGCAGGCTGCAGTTCAGCAGGCCCCTGACTATTTGTATGATGAGTGGCCCTTGGCCCCCCTCGGAAAGGGTACAAGGTTTATGCAACTCAGAGGGAGGCACATGGGCTGACCATTTTTCTAATATTGCTCAATAATCGCTCATTGATGGGAGTCCTACTGTCCGGGCTGGCTATCGTGTACCGGCATTTCTTCCGACAGATACAGAGCATTGCTCTCCCACTAATACTTTGATAATGGATGGTTTGCGGCAAAGCCCACAGAATGGCATATGAAATCATAGTGGCATCTTCCTCTCTCTGTCCATCTCTGCTGTCCTGCCTGACGGCTGTGTGACAGAGAGAGTGGAGAGTGGGCTTTTTCCTTCATGTCTGACTAGTCACAGTAATGACTGCAGATGGGAGAGCCGCAGGGGGCCCAAGGCTCCGGGGCCCTGTCATTGTTTTGGGGCCGCCCTGACCCACTCACTCTTATCTCATCCTCTTCTGCCTTCTGACGCTGAGCTGTAATTGAAAAGTATATTAGAGCAAATATCCTTATATAATATAGCTTATATCTGAGGACGCAATTTGTCTGAGCCGGCATGTATTTATTCTTGAATAAATGAGAGAAAGCTCTTACAGAAGTAGGAATGGATCTCCATAGTATTCAAGTTGTATATACTTTGACAACAAACCCTGAAATAATTTATCCACGGTGATGGTCCTCCCCTGGAATGTGGGATTTTTAGAAGGATTAATAATGATTTGCTTATTGACTTGAATTACTGCAGCACTTTGACTTCATTTTGCTTTTAGAACAACAGACACACACTAATGCTTGTCAGTGCAAAACACCTTCTGTTTTGATTGTCGTATATAAACAAAAAAAATGTGATCCTCCTAGGTTTAAACTCTAGATGTGAGGCACACATGTTATTGTTTATTATTTTCCAGATGCAACAAAACATTTTGTTTAGTCTGGAAATGTATTTTGTTGCATTCTAAAAGCATCACATTGCTTTCATCTGATGACTTAAGATGGAGACTGCTACTCTTTTAGTTGCTAATTTAAATGATGGCTGGAAGTTGGCCACAGAATGGTAGAAATTGGTCTCAGGGAACCCTCAGGCTTTGCTTATGGCCCCTGAGATATGAGGGTTAGTGTTCCCAAGTGGGGGGCCATGGGTAGCAGCAAGCAGCTGCGTGGATTCTGGCCTCCATCTTGCCTGGTACATTACCTTAGGTTGAGCTGAGCAGCCATCTAGAAACAGTTTGGTTTTGTCCCCTAATGCTGTTGCTCAAGCCTGGACTCTCTGACTGTAGTGAAGTCAGGCAAACGAGTGGGGAGTTTTTCCATTACATGAAAAATAATATATAATCATACATCTCAAGGTGTTGCTTCAGCTATAGGTTTTGGCCATAATACTTTTACTAGGTTATTTAATTTGTCCACTAAGTGGATGTACGTTTATCACAGAGGAAATTCTGTCATTTTTGTCATTTTTATTCTGACAGGACATTTGTTTTTACTGCAATGTCATTTCCACCACAACTCAAGATATGAATTGTATTCAAAGGCATTCTGTGGAGAACTTTTTTTAAAAAACATTTAAAAATAAAATATCTGACTCCTTTACCTTTCTAAGGTTAATTTCAAAGCTAGCATTTTATGTACCCTAAATACATCTAAATAATATTTTCTCTCTTTTGGCATAATTGGACAATTATAGCTTGGTTGGAAATTATAAACAATAAATAATGTTCAGTTCATAAGTGATATGAACCTTTTTTATCCAATTTTATATATAGATCTCACACATAAAATATC